TCTTGTGGTGTATGCCATGTATTTCGGTATTTTCCGTGCAAAAATTTCTCCAGCTTTCCAGTTTGGCCTGTAGGATCATTTTCTTATATTTTGCTCTTTCCTGTTGAAAGGTGATGAGCGTGTTAGAAGAAATATTGTGACGCCGCTCCTGCTTAAGACGGCGTCTAAGGGCGCGAACTTTCTGCTGTTGTTCTCTGAGATGACTGCTCCACCAGTTTAGATTAGAGATTTTTTTGGTTGTTCTGGTTGGCAACAGTTCATTACAAACTGTTCTTATGGTGGACATTATGTCACTCGTGATAACTTGTAAGGCTTCGGTGGTAGTTGCTTGTTCGATCAACTCTGCGAAGTGGGGAAGTTGGGATTTAATGGCTGCAGCAAATGTCCTTACTTTATTACCTGGCAAGTTATACCTCTTGATTATCGAGGTGGCTGTCTCACTGGCGATAGAAAATCTAATATAATTGTGGTCTGAAAGGCTTAAGCCTTCCACGACCGTCCAATCCTGAATCTTTTGCGCAATTTGCAATGTTGCTACTGTAAGGTCGGGCCATCCCTGTGAATGGATGCGATCGAAGGTGGGTGCAGCATCATGATGATTAAGTACGCTCATATTTTGACTAAAAAAGAAATCTTCTAGCATCCGACCTTTAGGATCAGTGCTGGGATATCCCCATGTGGAACTGTGGGCGTTGAAATCCCCAGCACATAAGATGTTATGGGACCTGTACCGCTGAAGTAGTTGCTGCATTCGCTGGATAGTTGTATCTATATTAGCTGTCGGAGGGGAGTATAGTGAGACCAAGAGAACCGTTATGTTGTGCATCTCAAGAAGAATAGCCACGAAGTCTCTTTCTGTGGTGATGATAACCGGTGTCCACGCTGGGTTGCAGTTGATTAGTATTGCACGGGGTGAATCGTTAACATCTTCTTTTTGGTACACTGTCCATTGTAGATAGCCTACCGCTTTTCCCTTCAAGCAGTATGGTTCTTGGGCAAATATTAGATCAATCCCTTCGGTTGCGGCATATGCGGCAGCTTGTGCCGTGGCTTCTTTGGCATGTTGCAGATTAATCTGAAGGCACCTTATTGGTGTTTGAACTGGGATCGTGTCCGTATTAATGTCCGTTGTCAGTGCAGCGTCCAGTTGCTGAGGTGGCTGGGTTAGACTATTACTGGTATGAGGTGCAGAAGTAACTGAAGGCTGTGACGTACTTGCTTCTGTATGGGTGTTCACAGACACTTTCTCTTCAGTATTCCGTTGCGCTACGGACGTTGTCAACTGCCCATTGATAAATTGCGCATTCTGCTGCATAGGCAGGGTGGTGGAAATTGTATCTGGTACCCAACCTGTAATTTGCGTCTCCGCAATTAATGCATGATGGTTGGTCTCCAGTGCAGTCTCTGGTTGTGTGAGCGCCGGAGCAGAAACCGCAGACGATCTTGGAGGACCTGCACACGTCCTGGCTGTGTCCAAACTGTTGACAGCGATAGCATCTTCGTACTCCAAGGAACTCGGAGATGCCATGCGCCTGCCATGCCGTGAATATGCGCTTTGTCTTGATTGCTGCAGCAAATCCTTCTGTGGAGCACTCGATGATCCATTTGACCCTCTGTGGGCGTCGCTCACGCAGACGGAAGAGAATCTTGAAATGCAGGTCGGAGATTCCTGCTGTCGTGCTGAGCTCAGAGATGAGCTCCTCTGGCTTGGTATGCTCCCCGACATTATGTACTGCTATTCTTGGTCGACGTCGCTGTTTCCTCTGTATATCTATATCGATGTCTGCTTTTTGAAGATGGTCCTTTAACTTTTCAACTTCTTCGGGAGTATCACAATAGACTTCCAGACCTCCTTGCGGGGCGGGCTGTATTCTCCGTACTGCTACGGGGATTTTGTCCAAAGGGACCTTGTCTTGTAGAGCTCTCCGCAAATCGTCTGTTGGCTTTGGTTTGGTTTAATCACGAGACTCGGCTTACTGTTCTTGCGCACGGCCTCTGCAAAGCTTTGCGGTGTACTCTTTACTGTTTGCGGAGGGGCCTGCTCACAGGCGGGCTGTTGCACAGATGGAGAGGGAGTATGCATTGTACCACAGCAAACAAAAGTAGAGGTATGGGTACCTGCCTCTATTGCTGGCGGTTTGGGGCGATACTCTGGACCCTCTAAGGCAAGGCCTTGGAACACAGATAATGCGTCCTTCAGTCTATTCCTTAAATCTTGAGGGAGAAGGTATCTACCTCCTCGGCTTGTATCGGTGATATTCCGGATCTCGTTGGCTAGTGCAGCGATCTTTTCTGGTGTTGTCCGATCGGACTCTAGCAATTCTGCTGAATTAAGCTGTGTTGAATTACTGGCTTCCTCTGGGAGCTTGGACTGGCGGGTCATGTCACAAGTAGAAGCGTGATCCTTTAAATTGACACTATGGGAGTCGCTGGGTAACACGTATAATGCACTATTGAAATCACTCTAACTGATGTGTACACTAAAATACGCTTATTTCAGCGTTGTATGCACTTAAAAACACTGTACGATACTATTCACACTAGCTATGACACTAGTGTCGCACTTTAAATCACTGAAGAGAAAACTAACTTCACTGAAACAAAGCCTAGCGTTGCTTGGTCACTGCAACAAACACTATATTTCTAGCTGTAGTGGCCATGCACTATTCATTCACTTAAAGACACTGAAATTGATATTGGAGGAACAATTTGCACGTATTTACACTTGTGATGCACTGTATCTTAGTACAGTGTTGCTTGAACACTGAACTAAATCACGCACTATACTTTACCGACGCTTTAACTAGGGGCTGGGCACGATTAATTCACTTATTAGCACTGTTGTTAACACAATTTGCACATATAAGCACTAACGAAGCTTCAATCGTTGAGCTATAGCACACACTTATCGTGAACTGAAGACTGATGGTTATGCACTATCAGCTCACGTTGTAACACTGGATGTGACTCTAAATAACGCTTGTAAATTGACGTTTAATCACTGAATTAGCACACACACAGTACATTAAACACTTTCACTGTAAAGAACACTGTTTCACTCAACACTATAATAACTTTGTAAAGAGAACGGCACTTAAATACCTTGTGTAATTACACGTATTATCTTATTTATGCCAACGTGGAGACTCCAATTGTACACTGTGTGATACTGTGATAGTTTGTCTGGTTCACAGGAAATTACAATCTGGTATACTTAAATATTTACTCATAACACAAAGTAAACATGTAAATAGCACTAAGAATTAGAAAATTACTACAATTTAACTGTTTGCAGTTTATGCAGTTTGTTTCAGAACCTGAAAATAGAAATTTCCGCTACTACGGAGAAAAAACACGGAGCTGCAGAAACACGACCTGCTCCTGGCTCTGCTGAGCGATCTCTGCATTTAAAACCATAATGTGACTTTGTTACATTCGCATTAGACGAGGTATAACTCACTTGTCATTCTTTTACGGTCTGAAGAACATTTTTCCCCCCAATGGCGGGCACTTGCCTATGCCGGCATCGGCCAGTCCTCTGCCCCCATGAAACAAAAATTGACCGGGATATTTATTTTAAAAATTTGTTATTTTTGGTATCATTTTAAATTTGCCTCGAGGAATCGATTATTCAAGTTACTATAGTTCGAGAAAATGCGTGTAAGTGAAGTGAAGCAAAAAATGTGTGTAACTGAAAAGGCTGTATAAGAACCGTATAAAAAGAAAGTCATATGGTGTCCACCTCAGCTGTTTTTAGGATAGAAATGTAAGTAACGATATTAAATAGCGCACTTAAAGAGTTATTACAGGAAAGTTAAGATCGTATTTCACGTATTCCTGATCTTTCGATAGGACAGTTACGATTATACATTACATGTTCTTTATCTTACTTATATACCTTTTGTGTGACTTAAACAGTTTATAAATTATATATTAAATATAGGGTTTATTTATCATTTTTATGCTTTTTTGCAAAAACTTACCGATATCGAATATTTGTAACATAAATTTTAATTCTTTTGTAATTAAAACTTTACATTCATAGGCTTTTAATAACATTTTTGTTAGCATCACAACAGAAAGAAGACTATTTTAACATTCCTTTAACAGAGCTGATAATCTTGATCAAAACTTAATAGTGTATGATCCTAGCAGATGTCCTAAGTCACAATGTTCAACAACTTGTAGGTGGGTTCTTGTTTATGTTAAAAAACTTTTATCAAAAGTTAGAGTACATTTTTATGATCTGTTGTCTATAAATATGTATACACTTTAGGAGAAGAAAGCAAAACAAGCTGCTATATTCAGGTAATATGTTGAAGATTTTGCATGAATGATATCTAATCATATTGTAAAATACTTGCCACTATTTTTGCCCATCTAAATCTAAAGTCCTCTTGTTATACCCTATAAGGTATTACTTCAGCCTTCTTAGCATGCCACTAAGAAGCGTGCTGACTTCTCTGGTCAGCTCTGAAATACCACCAGTCCGTGGTTCGATTCCCGGCAAAGGCGTTGCTGATTTTTCACTTCTCCTGCTTCGAAGTAACCTAATGTCTCTAAAGTGGCACCCGAACTAAAGAGGGTGGTGGATGATGATTCTCCATACCCAGGATTTGGTGATTGGGTCTTCTAAAAAGCCCAGTCGCTCTTTAAAAGGGGGTATGTAAGGTATTTCTCCCGCCTTCTTTTCATGCCTTTGTAGTGTAGTGGTCAGCACTCTGGGCGCTTATTCCGGAGGTCAGTGGTTCGATTCCCGGCGAAGACGTTGCTCATTTTTCACTTCTCCTGCTTCGATATAACTAATGTCTCTACAATGCTAAATACCTTATACTCTGCAAAATTTAAAATTGGCATTATCCGCCCAAGGAGCAGATATCGCCACCTTTCAGAAACTGTTTAACAAAATGTGCGATGACTTTTCACTGAATTTTATACCTAAATACAACTGAATTTTCTGTTTTGTTAAATTTTGTTGCATTTTATTTGCTCCCTTTTAGGCTTGCAGATGGAACGACATGATGAAAGCACGTTGCAACGTAAAAGAGAAAGTAACAGCAGAATGCTTGAAGGAAGTGAACATGTTTATGAATGGAGAATGTCCAACGGTAGCTGAATCGACAACCCCTCAGTCGACGACATCTAGGAATCCATAATCTGAGAAGATCAAAGTAAAATACATATATAGGAGCCAGGAAGGATAATGTGAAGCACTTTGTATAACTTTGATAAACGCTGTAAGCATTCACAAGAGATTAATGTTTAAAATCTTTTTATATACACTGCAATATAATTACCAATCTTTAGAAGTAAATGCAGTTTATGTTTCTTGTGTCTCACAACTGTTTTTTTACTACTAGCTGAATAGCTTAAACAAATCAAAAGTTAATAATAAAAAAGAAGCCATGAATGCTAACAAAACTTAATATGCATAAAATCTCAGTAGATACTTTTAAATTGGAAGAAGGGTTTTAATAAAGCCAAGCAACCCATTATTTAGTAATATAATGAAAATTAATATTTCCAAACGTAGGAGCAAAAGTCAGTTTACCCGATGGATCATAATGTACAAGTCTAGGTAGCCTGAGCTCAAAGTAAATGCTGATATTGTGATCTGTTACTTTAAAATAGGAGCTTCAAGATCGTTGCCCGGCCGCTTTTCCCTTTTGTAATGTCCCCGCACAACACCTATTTTCTCCACTTCATTTGGAGCTGTAGTTCAAGCCGACCGCCATTAGCGCTCTTTTTGTCAGATTTCTTCGGTTGCAGTTGGGGCCCACCAGCGGCCGAGCGGTAAAGTCGCTGAACACTGGTAGTTCGGTCCGAGGTTCGAATCCCGCGAACGGGCTGGCTGCATGGGCGTTTTCGTGGTTTTCCCCATACGTAACGTGTATGCGAGCCAGTTTCCCTTAGAAAGTCCTCCACGAAGGCATCCCTCCCCTTAGGCAGATAGCCCTCGAGGCTTTGCCATAATCATACACACACATTCATTCGGTTGCAGTTGAAAGCTGAATTGGTTCAGACAACCTATGTTTCAAAACTGATTATTAGAATTCTACAAAAAGAATTCATTTTTAATTTAATCTGATTAAAAACAGAATCATTTCTCAAAACTTATATTACGTATTAGAAAGCACGCATTAGAAACATATTAAATAAAATATGTAAATTTGTAATTTACATAATATCTACACGAATAAATATATATGGGTTCAACGAATATTAAGTGTTATACTGCGTAATTTTGCTTTAATACAGAATCGAAATATGCGAAACGGAAATGCAGTGGGAAAAACAAATTACGCCGCTCGATCTTTCTTCCGTAGTTGTTGTTCCAGAGGTTATATGACTTAAATCTGATAGCGGAAAATAACTCAGAAGTTCCTATTTAAAGTATCAGACTGAGCAGCACTGAGGTACATACAAGCAGTTAGCAGAAACTGAGCTAAATTCAAGCGAATATTCAATTAAATTTCTAGTGCAGATTATTATATATAGAGTAGCCTGACATGAGGTACTTCACTTATTTAGGCTTCGTTTTATCTTGGGCCACCAGATACTATACATCTAAGGCGCAAAGAAGAAATTCTCGGCTAAAAATGAAAGCACTGATAAATAAAAATGAACTCAGAAGCCTTAAAAATGACACGCGATTCAGTTTCTTACATTCAACTGTATATACTCCGCTACAGTTAATTTATATTAATTGCAATTTAATGCTTTTATTTTTCTTCTAAAACGGCCTTTAAATTCTACGTAAAATAAAAAGACGAAAAATCGGTAGTTATAACGAATAAACATAATTCAATAAATTAATAATACTTTAGTACTTCTGATGGTGAAAAATCAAACTACGTGAGACTATTCTTTCATGCAGAATGCTTTAATTTTATAATAATCAATGTAAATTCTGTTGTAAATCATACGTTCGCCAGACCTTTACTTTTTATACAGGATCTGCTATGATATAAGTCCTTTTGTCTCCAATAAAGGAATGTACCATATTCAATTAACAAATCGTAAATAATAATTTTAAGCTTTCCGACACACTTCTTGCAGTTTTCAGAGAAACATATTGAGGAAGTTTTAACAAAATTAAAAAATGCTTTAAAACAAAACAAGAAGACTCTTGTAAACCATTAAATAGAAATGAATGTACCCAAGAAATTCATTTGGAATTAGTATTCTCATTACGCTTTTTTTATTTGTTTCATATGGAGAAAGAAAATTATTCACAAATATTCTTCTAGAAAGAAACATCCTGGCGTTTTTTTTAATTTTAAATTCTCTTCTCAGAGTCTGCTAAAATCGTAATCAAAGCCGCCACGGAGATGCCCCGAGGGAATTAAGTTGTCTGCCTTAATATGAGACTATAGCAATTTCAATTTGATTTGGAACCTCATTCTTGAAAAAATATCATTTATTAATTTCCTTTCGTTTTAAAGATGCATGGTCATTTTATTGAAGCAAAAAATGAGAATTTTTTAAAATTATTCAATTATCCAACATTCATGAAGATCAACATCACATGCCATCATCTTTTGGATCATTTTCAGTCATACAGCGTTAGCTGCATCGAATGTCTTTGACGGCAACATCTAGTTCACAGGTTTCGGACTGGATACCCTGAAGTCGAAGTTTATCTGGGATATTTACTGACTCAACGAGTCATAGCGCCCTTGACGCATAAACAAACAAGAAGTTAAATATCTGTCGCGCATAGCTATGAGTCATTATACTAAATCTAGTTTAGCTCAACAGTTAGTATTATCTTCACAACAAATGTCAACATGCATAATTAGATATAACCTGCAACAGAATGTTCTTTGCAAAGTAACCGTTTTTTTTTTTTTTTTTTTTTTTTTTTTTTTTTTGCTGGCAGTGAAGAAAATCGGAAAAGTTTTAACAGCTAAAGGAAGCATATAATATCTATTTAAATCTGGGTTTACTTAGGATAAAACCAGACAGATGTGTAACAGTATAGTAAACTCCGTATAGTAAACATCATATACACAGTTGTTATAACGACTAAGAAAAAGCGATACGTTCAACTTTATAGGAAACCATATTTTGTAAATGATATACTCCACTTTACTTATTGTTAAAAATTGGTACAGGCGTTATAACAGGCATATAGATATAGACTGTAAACAGTACTCATCATAAATTAGGAAGAAGCAAATTTGTACGTTCAGGCTTTCGTATGAACACCATTTCGTAGATCCTTCTTTTACAGAAAACGAGTGTCTTTTAACAAATAATTATGAGAATGTCAGTCTTTGAAACGATTAAAAATTTCGATGTCTGTTAAATTAGTAGGAAAAACAAAGGAAGCAGAGCTAAACCTCCTCTACGAAGCTGATACAGGATTACATATGTTGCTGGAAAGAACAAATACAGTGGTTGATAGTTAATCTGATATATATATATACTGTATGTAATATTTTATTCATACAGCGTAGGCCTTCTTTTAGAGACCAATATTGCAGAAAATGATCGTAGAAGTGACCGATGTATTATTTATACTACCATTAAAAGTTCTTTTACCCATGATTCTTGGAAAATTATGGCTATATTACTTCATGAGGATTTAAGAAGAATTTTTAGCTGTGTCTTCTAGCGTACATCTCATGCCATATGGTGCGGAGATCAGAAGGTTTTGCAGGTCATGGAAGATCTTCAAGCTCGCTTTTATGTTTTTTAATATATCACTAGAAAATGTCATCCTGATGAGTGAATGAAATGCTTTCCTTTGGATTACATATCGTTCAGATGAAATACTTGAACAATTCCGTAAATTTTGTCCTCGAATACCGAAATTTTTGCGATTGATGTAGTCAAGAACAATCAGTGTTCTCAAAGATTTCACCAATTACTGCGGCCCAAAACCATCACCTTGTCCACCTTCATGCTTCCCGCGGCAATCCAGTTCATTCTCCTCTGAAAGAGTTTGTAACCTGTATAAACTATACATAATCTTTGTTTCTCAAACTTTATATAGATTGTGAATGACAACAAAAAGTTACATTAGAATAATAATGTTTTAAAAAGATAAATGCCTTATAATAAATAATTTTAGAAGGAAATTTTGCTTAAACAGAAAAATAATGCTTTACGATACATTCTTTTGGTGACCGGAGTTGGTGACGGTAAATATTATGTTAAATAATGAGAAGACAGAAACCCAATTAAGTGCTGCTAATTCTACGGGAACCACGAAGGGTAAGTATAAAAATTCCTCCTTTCCTGGACAGATAAGCCAGAAATTTGGTTTTATCAAATATAAGCACAATTTAAAATAATGGGATAACTAATGGAGATACCAAGTTAACTACACTGTCTCACAAATTGAGCCTAAATACACAGACACAATTTGGAACATAATAACCGACAGGGCTGAAGAGAAATATTCATTGGAAAAGAGCATTTATTAAATGTATTCAAAGAAAGTGAAAACAAAATAAAAAAATCTGAAAGCTTTCAGATTGTATATTACACCCAAAGAAGCGTTTTGTAACGTTTTGTGTGTTACTTTATTTATTAAATATCATGTTCTTCGTGCTTAAGTGACATTAAATTCAATTCAAAAGCAATATCACAAAAATATTTAAAAACGGTTTTCGATAGACAGCCTCGCGCGCTGGAGATAATTTTTTTTCCTGTTCAGTGTTGCCATTGCTCGCTTTCTGTTATTACTAAAACATAGTCTTATCAATAAATATCATTAAAATAAAAATACTTCCTTCACTCATCCCAGATACCGAGCAATCCAGAAAAACTAAAGACAAAACTTGCTCACTTACCTGGGTAATGTGATGTTGAATCTGTAATAAAAACTCAAATATGTTGATTTATTTAATTATATTCTCTCTATACTACAAAATATATACATTTTTTAACAATTGTCGGGAAATTTTTTCTGGCCCCGAAAGTTATTACACACTTAATCAGTTCACGTCACGAGGTCGAAAGGGGAAAACCCTTTTTTTCTTCCTACTTCAATGACAGCCAACGCCATCTGTGTCTCGTACATCAAAATGAAGAGATTTGTTTTTAATATTTGTTAGATACAGCTAATCAGTTTCACAACACTCCCACCTTTTTGATTTTCAGAAGGAAAATCAAAAATCAAATAATGGTATCCTTAGTACAGGAACACACTTCTAGAGGGTACAGTTTACGTACAGGACGAATCAGTATGCCATTTCTAGTTTTCACTTTTACAACTCTTACACGTCCATCTCTGCTTGTACAAAGTTCTTGGACACGAGCAATTGGCCAGTTCACTCTTTTAAGGTTCTCACAACCTATTAGCACGATGTCTCCAACTTTTAATTCACAGTCCGTCTGTCCATGCTTTTGTACTAACTGTCCAAGGTACTCCTTGCGGAAACGGCTACGAAATTGTTCTCGAAGTTCCTGGCAGAAACGCTGACGAGCCAAGAGTTTATTTCGATCTAAAGCATCCATCCAAATCTGCTGTACCTGAAACCTTAATGTCCTGTAAGAACATGGAAGGCGTTAATGGTAGAAGATCCTCAGAGTCATTTGACACATAAGTTAGTGGTCGACAGTTTATTACGGCTTCCACATCACAGATGACGGTGAGTAACTCTTCGTAATTGACTGCAGCTTGTCCTAAGACTCTCACAATCAAATTCTTGGCTGTGCGGATTAGACGCTCCCACCATCCGCCCCACCAAGCAGCAGTGGGCGGAATGAACTTCCAAGTGATGGGATGCAAAGTTTCCTGAGCAATTACCTTTACCCAGTCAACCTTTTTCAGCAATGCAGATGTACCGACGAAATTTGTGCCGTTGTCTGAATAAACTGTAGATGGCCGACCTCTTCTGGCTATGAACCGACGAAACGCTTGAATGGAGCATTCGGTATTTACGGATGTCACTAGTTCCAAATGTACACATCTATATACAGCACACGTAAACAGTACTACCCAGGTTTTGTTTTTATTTTTGAGAATCAGAGGGCCACATAAATCTATGCCGGTAACTTCAAATGCGAAAAGCATCTCGAACTCTGTCTAATGGTAATTGAATGGGTGCAGTAGTTGGAGGTTTTGCTGAAAATCGTTTACAACGGACGCACTGTTTCACCACCGATCTAATTCGGCGTCTTGCACCAATGATCCAGAATTCTTCTCTAATTATAACAGTTAATGCTTGTACGCCGGCATGAGAATGCTTTAAATGGTAATCTAATTAAACAGTCAACAATATAATGCTTAGAAGGTAATAAAATCGGGTACCGGAATGCATAAGAATCATCTCGTTCGGTGATTTTCGTTTTTACTCTTCTTAAGCCACTCTGATCTCGTACGGTCAAAAGACCATTGATGGAGTCTCCAGTCTCTGGAAAACTCTCCCCCTGAACAAGTGAAAGAAGTATAATTTTAGATTCCTTTATCTCGGAAGCAGACAGAAAAAGCTCTTTATTTACAATTTTTTTTTTGACAATTTTTGATAAATCTCTTTATCCAACCTAAAACTCTTAACATTTTTGAAAATTTAGAGAACTTCTCACACCACTTAACTTTATCCGCTTTTGTAGTTATACTAAGATTTACATTTAAATTTATGCCTTTCCTGCGCTCTGAAAAAACTAAAGTTTCATTTGGCTTAACCTCTAATTTTGGCCAGCTATCTCTAGGGTCTTTGAGCCAAACAGGCCCTCTCCACCAATTTAATTCGAAAAACTGAAGAGGGGAACAACCACGAGAAGGTAAATCAGCTGGGTTAGAATGACCCTGTACATATGACCACTGATTTGCTTTAGTGAAAGCGCAAATTTCCTTCACGCGATTGCCCACAAAAGTCCCCCACGCATCATTTCTTTGAATCCAAGATATGGCCGTGGTGGAATCGGTCCAAAAATATTTCGGGATGTCATCCAATGTAAGAGCTTCTGTCACATATTTGGAAAGACGCACGCCCAAAAGACAGGCCATAAGTTCTAGACGGGGAATAGTAAGTTCTTTTAAGGGTGCGACTCTTGACTTAGCCATTACAAAACTGACTAATGTTTCTTCTTTAGTTTCGCATCTCAAAAATATTACCGTGGCATAAGCATGCTGGCTAGCATCACAAAATACATGAAGTGTCCAGGAACTTCTATCTCCAAAACCTATACGTCGCGGTATTCTCAACTTATTCAAAATTTGTAATTTATTATACCACCTCGAAAATTTACTTTTGATACTATCTGGTAATGGAGTATCCCAGTCTGCTTTTATCGCCCAAATTTCCTGTAGCAGTAACTTTGCAGGCAATAAAACAGGTGTCAAGAAACCCAAAGGATCAAACATTGTCTGCGTTACTGACAAAACCTCTCTTTTAGACAAATTATCCGAAACCAATACAGTCTTAATTTCAATATAAAGGTTATCTTCTATTCTGTCCCACATAATTCCTAAAACTGGTACAGAATTCTCCATTGTGGACTCAGTGCACAAAGTACTTTGGGTTAGTTCCACATCTTTTTCTACTGGGCCATAGGTCCACATACGTAAGTCCATTTTTGCTTCAGCTAATATTTCAGTAGAAGATTTCACAAAATTCACAAGCTCCTTTTCGTTATCAACAGAAGTCACACAATTATCAATATAAAAGGATTTATTTAATTTCTGAGCAATAGAACTTTGTTCCTTTGGTACTTGTGCCAAATGAACTGAAATAACCGCTCCTAATAGAAAAGGGCTAGACTTTACTCCAAAAACTACCCTCGTATGGCGGAAAACCTTCAGTACATTATCTTTCTCCCACCATAAAAATCTTAAAAAGTCCCTATCTTCTTTCCGTAATTCAATCTGTAAAAATGCACGCCGGATATCAGAGGTTACGCCAATGCATTTTTCTCTAAATCTTAACAAAATTGAAGGGATTTCTTCTATTAAATTTGGTCCTTTTACTAAATAATCATTAAGGGAGGGCGATCTATTAACTTTACATGATGCGTCAAAAACAGGTCTTATCTTAGTTGAGACACTGTCTGGTTTAAATACTGGGTGATGCGGTAAGTAGTGCCCTTTATAATTCAGTTCATTGTCTGGTACTATTTCAATTACACCCTCCTCCATCCATTCATTAAAAATTCTATCATATTCTTCATATTTATGTAAAGACTTGAGTTTTCGGGTGACACTGAACAATCTTTTTCTGCTACATGACGATTTGATGGCAATTCTGCGTTATATACTAACCAAGGTAATCCGACACAATAACGATCATCTTCGTTTCTGGAAAGAGCGTTTAAAAATTGTTCGTGGGCAATTTCTTCCTCAGCAGCGTTAGTTGAATTCTGGTGAGCATCTAATATTCCGATCGTTTCTAAACTCCAAAGATCGGAGATTTAAAGTCGTGATCCACTAAACTCGCACACAAAATGGAAGCATCTTTATCTTTGTGATTAACAAATTCCTTTGATACACCACAAACTGCTGTTAGTCCTCCTTTTAATTGTTTTACTGATCCCGTGAGAATTTTTCCATAAATATCACTACCGATGAGCATTTCTATTTTTGGACAATCTGCTCCCAGATCCGACAACCAAATGTTGTTTCGTTGTAATTCTTTTAATATTGGACTCTTGGGTACCCGAGGTATATCCCCACATATTATGTCTTGATCTAAAAATTCAAATTCTAGATCTGAATACTTACGCGGACTGGCTGAACATAATTTTACCAAATATTTGTTATGCATCTTTGCCTCTGTTCTGGCACCTCCAAATAAAGTAAGAGCAACATTTTCTTTGGAAATAATTGGTAACCCCAATTCAGTGGCTAATGATTTCAAAATATACGATTTCTGGGAACCACAATCTAAGAGTACTCTAACATCTTTATGCTTTTTGACACCAGCTACTCTTACGCGTAAAGTCATTAAAGCTACGTCAGCGGTACAAGTTTGCCTGGCTGTAGCCGTATGTATGTTGTCTATTTCTGATTTTTCTGTAGGAAGTTCAGTTTCATTATTAATGTCCGGACACAAAATAACTGAGTGTGATTTACCACAAGCAAAACACCTAACAAACTGTTTACAGAACTTTGCCATATGATTTGGTTCCAAGCATTTTAAACAGCATTTTTTCTCCTTAACTTTAGAAATCCTTTCATTAAGAGATAATGAACGCGCATCGTAACAATTTTTACTATCATGCATTTTACCACAAAAAAATACATGCATGTTCTCTGGTTGTAAGAAAACCTGTGGCAGTGGGAACATTTCCCTGTTTCTTAAATTTAAATTTACCTTTTGTTTCCCTCTTTGCTTTATCATGATATCCTTCTTTACGACTAACACCATCGAGTCCATTACGCGCCAATTTTAATCTCTCCTCACCCTCCACTTCAGACTTTAAAAATTTCATTAAGTTGGTAAGGCGAGAAAGATCAGTTCCTTCAGGCTGGTTAAAGAGCGAACTCCTTTGCCACGCCTTTAAAACATCCTCTGTGAGACACGATTCCACCATCGGAAATAACCACGATGTGTTTTCGCTCGATTTAAGACCTAAAGACTCTAAGGCTCTCAACTGAGCTTCAATTTTATCATACAGTTTATCAAGAGGTAATTTATCCTTTTGATCTGCCTTCACATTAGAAACAATTAATTTAATTAGTTCCCTAACATACACTTCTACTAATAATTCAGGTTTCCCAAAACGTTCCTTCAAAGCTAAAACAGCTTTATCATAATTTTCCGAAGTCACCGGATAGCTTTCAATGAATTCTTTAGCACGTGATCCGGGCTTCATACACTGAATCAAATAGGAAAATTTGTCACTTTCATATAAATCAGGGTCAGTGTGAATTTTCTCAAACTGCGACCAAAACGGTAACCAATTTATCAATTCCCCATCAAACTTCTTAAGTTCGATTTTCGGAAGTCTATACTGTTTAATCTTACTACAACAAATACCAGCACCATCATTTGGTCTTGTTTCTAAATTGATTTCATCTGAAAATTGCAATTTTTCATTAATTTGCCGAGTTAGTGTTATGAAATCATCAGAATACACCTCGCGACTTTCGATTTCTTTAGTAACATCATCCTCTAAAAGTTTTCCCGTCTTCAGCTAACAAATCAAGAATTTTATCATCTACATTTTTTATATCTGAATATACATTTTGTAGTTTAGTAAGTTTATCTCGTACTAAATCTACAGAAAAATCTTCTTTTACTAATTCCTGTTTTTAAAATATTAGCAGTTTTTTTTGCAAAAGAAGTGCGTAAACCTGCCCGTTTAAGTTTCAGAGCCTTTAAAGCTTCCATAGTTAACTTTCAAAATAAAACAAACTGCTTTACAAAAAAATAGTTTCGAATTTAAACTTAATTATACTTTAATACATCAAAAAACTATCTATAACCATTAAAATAATTTTTTTTTTAAAGTTTATTTCTTAGAGTCCTGTCGCGGGACGCCACTTTTTGTTATTACTAAAACATATTAAATATCATTCCTTCAATAATAAAAAATACTTCCTTCACTAATCCAGAAAAACTAAAGACAAAACTTGCTCACTTACCTGGGTAGTGTGATGTTGAATCTGTAATAAAAACTCTAATATGTTGATTTATTTAATTATATTCTCTCTATACTACAAAATATATACATTTTTTAACAATTGTCGGGAAATTTTTCTGGCCCCGAAAGTTATTACACACTTAATCAGTTCACGTCACGAGGTCGAAAGGGGAAAACCCTTTTTTTCTTCCTACTTCAATGACAGCCAACGCCATCTGTGTCTCGTACATCAAAATGAAGAGATTTGTTTTTAATATTTGTTAGATACAGCTAATCAGTTTCACAACACTTTCAGATCATTGAATTTGTTAATCAAAATCCGTTAAAGCTTAAAAAAATCTGAAATACGACATAAAACGAATTCGAAACTCACAACTCGGGCTGCCAGGGGCCCATGTTCGTGTAGAGGATTACGTTAATCCAAATTTAATGGCTGTAGTACCGTCGTTTTTTTACAGCGCGCGAAATATTCCTTTACTTAATTTCTTT